CGTAGTACTGCTATTGCACTGCAGTTTAGTCCACCACTTGCCTCGCCACTTGACCACTTGCCCACTTGCCTACCTTCTCGAAGGTCTACAGCTAAGCTTCCGGAACTCACTAAGACTTCTACGCTATAGACCTACAGATCAAACCCTTGCTGCCTGTGGACCTACGACAGACCTACCAACTGTCTACGAATACATAGGTCACAGGTTCAACTCGCGGGGTCTTCACAGATACTGTACATGGGTAGGGTGAGGTCTAGGGATCGAACCGTGGGTACTGCATCCGCTACTGATAAAAGGTGAAAACCGTTTCACTCCCGCCGTCCTAAATTCGAGGTCCTCCAAGAACATTTCAGTCCAAGGCGAGACCTTTACCCTTCTTGTCACGCTCATAGGCTCTGACTATGTCGGGAGCGGTCTCTAGAAGTTCTGTTTTCATGAACCAGCGGTCGTCTTCCGGTTCCTGATAGGCAAACCGGACCTTATACTGTTTCTGGGGACGACCTCTACCTCCCGTCCTAAACACATCCTCGTCTACAATGCCTTCTATGTCATAGCTCCCATCCATATCCGGAGGGATCATGGTCTTTTAGAAGGGAACTGTTGGCTTGTAACACATGGCAACGACTTTTAAGCATGGAACACAGGATATGTGTGGAGGTGTACTGGGATTTCTATAGTGTATGCTGGTCCATCCTCCCCGCCTTTGACTTCTAGAACCGGCCACGGTCCTCTATATGCATGCAGTAACTTCTGCGAGATGTTTTCTTCAGGCGCAAACTCTTTTGCCTTGACTTAGACTAAGTCGCCGACTTGAAACTGTGATGGGCTACGGTGCTTATTAGCCTGTTCTATCATCCTATGTCGGGCCTTGCGGAGGTTCTCAACAACAATGGCTACTTCTTTTTCGTGCTGTATCGCAAACTCCTTGGTACCGGGCGTTAGTCTGTGAATCTGATCCCGGTTCAGTCCTTCCAATGGTCTACGCGGTCTAAAGGACTTGTGCAGTTCGTTGGGAGTACGCCAGGTGGATAGATGCACGCTGTTGTTGTATGCACTAGCGACCTTGGGCAACATCTCATCCCAGTTGATCTGATCTGGCCTAATATACATACGCAGAACTTGTTGTAGGATCTTGTTCATTTGTTCTGTCTGACCGTTAGCCTCTGGGTGACGGTCGGACGACATTAACAACTTAGATCCATAGACTCTCATGAGTTCTTGCCAATTCTGGCTGGTGAAACGACTATCTCTATCACTAACTATCGACAATGGAATTCCGTTCTTACTAACCCAAAAGTCGAAGAACTTCTGTATCACTAAATCGGTTTGTGCCTCTGCAGGCAAAGGAACAAACACGACATACTTACTAAATCGGTCAACTATGACCATGACTTGGCTTTTACCATGTCTGCTCTTGACTTGGGTGTCCATGAAGTCTATGGACACTGAGTCTCCTGGCTGGTCCGGAATAGGCAAGGGTCTGAGAAGACCTAGGGGCGCAAGTGTAGTGGACTTATTCCTCTGGCACACTTTACAACTGCGGATATACTCTATGCAGTCATTCTTCATCCCTGGCCAAGTGTACGCAAGCATCAGATTGGCTAACGTCTTTTGCCAACCGAAATGTCCCTCAGTGTCGTGACATTCCCCTAAAATCAGACTACGAATCTCTTCGCTGTTGGGAACGCACAGGCGGTCGAACACATTAGTCTTCTCAAACAGCAACCCGTCTGTAGTGCAATAATCTGGTTCGGTCTTTGGGGCCTCTCTAACTCTCTTTAGAAGGTCACTATAGATACGGTCATGCGCATACGCTTGCTTCACTTTTTCCTGCAGGTCTCTCCCTATATCCAGATAATGTACTATGGCTCCAAAGTAGTCTGATCTCCTACTCAGAGCATCCGCAACTACGTTGTACTTGCCCTTCGCTGGCTTAAGCTCAAAGTCATATTGGTCTATTTCTGCGGCCCACCTAGTCAACTTAGGTGTCATCTTGGCCTGGGTCTTTTAACCATCTAAGCGTTTCATGGTCAGAAGAGTTCCCTCTCGTACGTCGAGGTGGCTACCTTCTCTGAGGGCATCCTTGTGGACATGAACTCTATGGGTCTATAGCCATGGCCATCATCCTGCTGCAACACGGCGCCTATCCCATTCTGACTCGCGTCCGTGGTGACAACAAATGGCAAGGACGGGTCTGCAACTTTGAGGACAAGGTACTCTATTAACGCGCGCTTTAACTTCTTGAGCGTAGACGTACAGTCCTTGTCCCATTGCCAGATTGCCTCTTTCTTTAGCAATCGGCGCAAGGGAGTGGCGATAGTGGAGAAGTTCCTCACGAACTTCCTATAGTAGTTAGCTAAGCCTAGGAACGACCGCAGCTCTGTCAATGTGCGGGGCGTCGGCCAGTCTCTAATCGCCGCTATCTTGTTGTCCTCTGGCTAAATGCCATCTTCGTCCAACACGTGGCCCAAGTACAAGACTTGTGTCTTGGACCACTCACACTTCTTTGCGTTGATCTTGAAGTTAGCCTCTCGTAGCTTCTCCAAGACCTGCCTCAGATGACCCTGGTGCTCCTGGAGGGTCTAACTGAAAACTAGGATATCATCTAGATAGACTACTACAAACTTATCTAACCACGGTCTAAACATGCCATTCATACAACGCTGAAAAGTAGTTGGCGCGTTGGTTAGTCCAAAGGGCATCACTATGAACTCATAGTCCCCGTATCTAGTCCGGAACGCAGTCTTGTACTGGTCATCAGGATGAACCTCTATCTGATGGTATCCGGACTTTAAGTCTATCTTAGAGAAATACTTGCAACCCTCCACCCGATCTAAAAGATCGTCTATCCTGGGCAGTGGCTCAGCATTCTTCACGGTAATTGCATTCAAACCCCTATAATCTATGCACATACGAAGCTCTCCCTCCTTGGGGATAAACAAGACTGGTGCTCCAAAAGGAGACAAACTGGGCCTGATCCAACCTTTCTCTAGGAGCTCATCTAACTGTTTGCACAGCTCCTCTAACTCTCTAGGGGACATTCTGTAGACTGGACCCTTAGGAGTTCTACTACCTGGCTCTATCTCTATCTTGTGTTGGATGGGTCACGGGTCTACTCCTGTTGGCGACTCGGTCAAATCTTTGAATTCTTCCAGCAGCTTGGCAATCGTTGGATTTGTGGAACTATCCTCTTCCTTGGCCTCAGTGACAGATCTAACATTAACTACAAAGACCTGTTCCTCTAATTGCTCCTTTTTTACTAATCGCGCAAACGCGGGAGCTTTGAGACAGCAATGTGCTAAGGTGTTGTCTACACCAGACACATGGAACAAGCGGGCAGTCTTAACCTCGCCTGACGGACTAGGGAGCCTACACTCATGCTCTCTCAAATGGAGTGTGGCCCCTGCTACCTCTCCCCAATCCATTCCTAAAACTACGTCAAAAGGAAGGTCATCCTGTACGAGGAGGGTCAGGGAATGGAGAACTTTCTCCACTTTCCGATTCTTCTCTAGGCGAAAGTACGCCTGGACTCCCTCTACGTAGTCCTTAACTCGCATTGTGCGGTTGTCCGCGAGGACACTGGCTATGGTGTCTACCAACTTCTGGACTTTTAGTCCTAACCTCAGCTTCTTCAGCGCCCTACGGCTAATATAACTACGGGTGGACCCTGAGTCTATAAGGGCCCCTACTCTGCTCCTAAACACCTCTACATCTAACAAGATCAGTTGTCCTTTACTCTCTTTCTTCATCTTGGCCCAGGTTGGCATCCTCTCCTTTAATTCTTCTGCCACACCTGTGAGGGACGTGCCTAAAGAGACGCTAACACAGGCGGTCTCTGGACAGCTATCTAGGCACGGGCCTGCAACCTCTGCCATAGGCTCATGTGGGTTGGGAGTGTCCTGTTCGCGCGCGCTCACTTCTCCACATGGCCTTGAAGTAGGGGCAGTTGCGACCCCTACTGGTGGCTGCCTTTTGATGACTGAGCAGCCCAACAGGCCTGTCTATACTTAGGACAAAATTTAATTACGTGGGCCGGGTCACCACAAAACACGCACTGACCCAGGTTCACGCGTTCCAGCCATAAACCCTGGTCCAAGCCCAAATCTTCCCAGGGCCTGCCCTGCGGCAAGCCTGGGTGCCATCCTCCTTGAGGTGCCCTTCCACCTCGTCTCTGTGGGGACCGATTACCCTGGCGATTTGGTGGGGGACCTTGACCCCTACCTCCCGCTTGGCGATTTCCCTGTCCGCCAACCCCCTGTGCGCCCGGTCTTCAACCTCCCATGGCCTGGCCCCTTTGGCCCTGGCCTCCTCCTCTACCTTGCGGCCTCCCCCCAGCCGCGACAGCAGCAGAAGACCTCCCTTGTCCCATACTACTGTCATCATCCTCAAGGCCCCACTCTATTTGACTGTATGGGACCTCATCAGTACCACCTTCCTCTAACGTGAGGATCATGTGATCCTTGGCATTGACTTGCCCAGAGATGGTACAACCTTTCCACTTTTTTCCCTTATCCAAGTCCTTGTGCCAGAAAGTTGTAACCGGCATGGACTTTGACTCATACAGGACGACCTCTCTACTCAGCGCATCATAAGTGATGTCGGCCTGTTGAGATTTGTCAAAGAAGTGCCCACGCAGGGCCTCTGGGATGGCACGACAAAATAATTGAACCAATTGGGTCTCAGTGACCCCATGGTCTGGGACGGCTATCAAGTCGTCCATGGTGCCCTGGAGTGCTCTTGCACTCCTCCACTGTCGCGAGTGGATCGTTTGTAGCTTATTAGAGGCGCGAACGCCTCTCATTGGGTCTGCAAATCGCTCCTTCAGGAGCTTGAAGAATTGAGGGAGACTGGTGATCCTGGAATATGCAACCATGTTGTTTTCACAAAGGGCTGCGCGGAAGGGGCCTAGCAAAACTAGCCGCTTCATCCTTAAGGGCATGAAAGGCCACGAGGACTTGCTCCTCACTCAAGATGTGTTGTAAATAGATATAACTGTTGACACTGGCTTCCCAATTGTCAAAGTTTTCCTCCTTCCCCCCGTATGCATCAGGAAACTTGAGCTTTACAGGTTCTTTACGGGGTCTAGCCTCGCCCTCTACAGCGGCTATCGCTTTGGCACCTTCAATGGCACCTTCGCAGAACTTTCCCATGCTGCCTCTCAATCTCTTAACTTCCCCTCCAACGTGGGTAACCATATCGCGCGCAAAATGCGTAAATCCCGACCGCATGGCACCCAGGGCTACCTCTTGACTCCAACTGGCCTGCCGCTCCTCCATCCAGGCTGCACTCAACACTTCCAGGTAACCCAGCATCTTGTCCATCTTGGCAGAAACATCTGCCTGTGCCCCCACTTCTCGCCTACAGTCCTGTACCTTCGCCACTTTCGCGGTCAACCTATTAACTTCCTCCCTCCTCTTCTTCTTCTCTCTCTTCATCCTCAGCTTCCATTCCAATTTCTTATCCTCTTCTCTTTCCCTTCGTTCCAGAGGGTCCTCCATCGCTGCTAGTTCGCTGGCCAACACATCCCTCTCGTCCACTCACTTATTTTCTTCTCCATCTCTGCTTCTTCTTTCATCGTGTCACTGCTCTCTGCTTCATTTCCCGTTCATTTTCTCTCCTCCTCTGCTTCTGCTGCCGCTTCTTCTTCAACAGCCTTCTTCTTCTTCTCCATCTCCTCCTCCAACTCCTTCATCTTTGCCGCCTGCTCCTCAACAATAGCCTTCAACTTCGCTTGCTTCAGGAGCTCCTTCCTCTCTCTGTTTTCCTTCACTATGGCGGCCATCTTCTCTTTGTGCTCCTGGGTATAGGGGCTAGTACTCGTCCCACCGTGGGTCTCAACCATGGTGATAAGTGCACAACCGGGTAGCGGTTCCAAACCTCACCATGTTGACTCTAACCCCTGACTGACAGACCTACTTACTCAATCTAAGGACTCACAGAATCCTGACAGGATCCTGTCAACTATAATCTCTAGACTAGACCTAACTATGGCTGTCACTACTGAACCAATGGCTGAGCTGGAGGCATTTAAGGAGATCCCCCGTAACTCCGCAAGAATTCTTTAACGTCGCAGACAGGACGACGTGATCAGCTTGGTTCTGCCTGTGCTTTCAGCCCACAACTCAGCCTTTCCGGCCTACTGTGCCACACCGAGCAGCCCGCTGGTCTGTACCGGTCCTTGGGAGGGTTCTTATCCCCCGTGACAGTCGAGTCGCCAGACACAGATCCTCAACCTTACTTGGTCCAGTAGGGGAGTGGTTCAAACAGGCCCTCAACACTTAAAGACTGCCTGGTGTGTCAGCCCTAACTGCCATTCAAGCCCACCGTGTCATACCAACCGTGTCCACCCGGTCAGCACCGGTCCTTGGGAGGGTTATGCCCCCCTGGACAGTTGGATCTGCCACAGCCTTAGCTCTACAAGGTCAGACTAGGGTTTCGTCATCCAAGCCCTATCCTYCATCCACAGAGTGCTWTCACTTAGGACASAAGAGACTCRATGCAGAAAGAATAGACAGACTGAYTGTACTCAGCAAGTACCAAGGGGTATGTGCACATCCATAGGGCAAGGGGTAGGCTGAGGGCTTGGCGAGATGTTACCAACTCCAGCTTGGTCAAAGTCTTGGTCAACGGCCTTGGTCAACGCCGGTCAACGCTGCGGTCAACCCTCGGTCAACACCGGTAACTCTGGTCAACACCTCCAATCAACTCCTCTGGTCAACCCTCCGGAAGAAGAAGAAGAAGAAGAAGAGAAGAAGAGGAGGAGGAAGAAGAAGATGAAGAAAAAGATGGGAGGGGGGTGCGAAAGGGTGGGCGAGAAGAAGAAGAAGATGAAGCTGGAGGATGGGCAAGGGGTGAGAAAGGGAGGGCGAAAAAGGATGGAGGGCGGGGGCTCAGAAAGGGTGGGAAGAAGAAGAAGAAGAAGAAGAAGAAGAAGGGGGGTGGTGTAGGAGACGCAGCACAACACAAGCGCGCACGAGGCAGATTAAAAAAAAAAAAAAAATCGGAACTGGNGGTGTAGGAGACGCAGCACAACACAAGCGCGCACGAGGCAGATTAAAAAAAAAAAAAAATCGGAACTGGTGATCGCTGATGGCGGGCAGGGGGGGCAAGAAGAGGAAGAAGAAGAGGAGGAGGAGAAGAAGAAGAAGAAGAAGAAAAAGAACAAGAAAAAGAAGAGCAGGAGGAGAGAAGAAGAAGAAGAAGAAGAAAAAGAACAAGAAAAAGAAGAGCAGGAGGAGGAGGAGGAGGAGGAGGAGGAGGAGGAGGAGAAGAATAAGAAGAAGAAGAAGAGGAGGATAAGAGGACGAAGAAGAAGAAGAAGAGGATAAGAGGAGGAAGTAGAAGAGAGGATAAGAGGAGGAAGAAGAGGAGGAAGAAGAACAAGAGGAGGAAGAAGAAGAGGAAGAGGATAAGAGGAGGAGGAGGAAGAAGAAGAGGATAAGAGGGGGAAGAAGAAGAAGAAGAGGAGGATAAGAGGAGGAAGAAGAAGAAGATCTCTCTCTCTCTCTCTCTCTCTCGTACTAACACACTCACCGTGGCGCGCGTCGGGGGGCGTCGGCGGGCAGCGTGATGGTGTTCTTCGCCGGCGTCGGGGGGGCGTCGACTGCGTTGGCGGGTGCGGGCTTCGAAGGCGACGACGAATGCACCCGTCGGCCGAAGTGAGGCGTCGGGTCGGGCATAGTGAACAATCGGGCGAGAAACTAGAAGCAACACATGAAAAAAAAGGGCCGGTAGGCCCGATTTGCACTATTTCAATCGCGGCCCATCTGGGCCGGCGATCCTGGAGATCGACGGCGCAGATGGGCCCCGATTTGAAATTGTTCGAATCGGGTGCAATCAGACTCGTTCTCAAACACACTTTTCATGCATGTAAACAGCAGCACAGTAGACTGGCGACATGCGCCCACTCAAAACTCAGAGATATGGCTTTTGGATACGAGTTCACTCTTAACTGGCCATGGCAACTTCAGCGCCCCCACAACTCACTGTTCACACACACACTGGATCACCCTGGATATCCCACACACATCACTCTAACACTCGAACACAGACACACACTCTCTACTAACTACAGCCATGGCAGCTATCGCTGCCGCTAACCTATCACTCTACTAACTCCTCCTCTGTTGCCCACTGCGTCCTCTGGGCTCATCTGCAGACCTCCTTGCACAAGTCTACGAATACACAAGTCACAGGTTCAACTCGCGGGGTCTTCACAGATACTGCACATGGGTAGGGTGAGGTCTAGGGATCGAACGCTGGGTACTGCATCCGCTACTGATAAAAGGTGAAAACAGTTTCACGGGCCTACCGGCCCTTCATTTTTTTTTTCCCCCCCATCCACGGCCTCCTTTGGGAAGGAGAAGGCCCCCCGCGACGAAAAGAAAAAAAAAAAAACCTTCGACGATGCGCTGGGGTCGCCCGGTGGCCAACCGGGCGGAACGACCGGCCAGGCTGCCCGCCCCCCCCCCCCTCGGGCGACAAGCCGGCCGCCGGGCGGCCCGGAGTTCAGCCTAGCTTTTTTATTTTATTTTTTTGCTCGCTGTCTATGTCCCACTTGATTACCATCTATTTCTCTCTCCTTTCGGTCTGGTTTTGTCTCTTTTTTTTTTTTTAACTCTTGTTCCTGTCCTCCTGCGCAGGGAATAGGTGGAGTGTTATCTATGTCAGAGGCCATGAATGATATCTTGTTTGCAACTTGACGTGGCAATCTGCCTCAACCCCCAACTATCTCCTATCCTTACTACTCCCTACCAGCACAGATGTCAGACCAGATGTCAGGGGAGTGGAACCAGACGACTCTGACAAAACCCACTCTACCACCCTGACCTCTTGACCAGACTGGATCCCAGGTGACTCGACCAGACAGCAGCAGCAGCGACCACCAGAGAGGTAGGGGGAGGTATAGGTACTCGACGCACACTCAGCATGCAGCCAGGTAAGGGGTAAGAAGTTCTTCTCTCTTCTGAAGTCGTCGATGAAGTCTCCTCGATCGCTCCACGCTCCACGCTCCACACGCAGGTAAGATCTCCTCCTTAGCCCCTTCCTCTTCAGCTTTCTACTCCCTACTAATCCAAACCACCTCTCTCCTTACACTTCCACCATAGCCAGCATCTTCAAGCCAGCATATCCTCCTCGCCGGCCTTACTCATGCCAGCACTTCAGTGAGCGCAACAAGTTCTGCTCTGCTACCAAATTTCAAGCACCTGACTGTTCATAGCTTGCTGGAGTGTATCTCATTGCATGCATAAATGTCATCATACAGAGAGAGAAACTTCACACGTAGCCAAATCGAGATGAGATGAGAACCAAATAGCGCAGATCATATTATCACAACAACATTATACAAAGAGTGTCTCGAGTCCAAGAGTTCAGCGCCAACAGAGTACAAGTCTCCTTCGTTCCATACTCAATATAGGGCCTGGCTCAGCCAGCGTCTCCCCTCAGATCACAGGTATGGCGCCAACAGGTAAGTATCCACCATATCCAACTCCTTAACCTCTCTTCTCTCTCTGTTACATGCACAGATATGCAATGTACGTAATAACCGAGGATCTGCAATGTGATGAAAAGGACTGAATGGACAATGCGGTGCGAATAGAATCTCNACATGCACAGATATGCAATGTACGTAATAACCGAGGATCTGCAATGTGATGAAAAGGACTGAATGGACAATGCGGTGCGAATAGAATCTCGACCAGCAATGTGCATTCTCATACATACATAATGGTGCTGAATAGCGCAGGGAAGACTTAAATACAAAGACTGACCTGACCGCGACTGACCTCATTCACGTAGTACAAAGTAGCGAATCAGAATGCTAGAATGCTAATAACTAGCCCAATCAATGTTTGAACTCAGACCAAACATACATCGTATCCCTCACAGGTGTGAAGGAGCCTGGCGCTGTACACAGGAAGAAAGCGCCAGGTCCAGACATACATAGACGAAGAGGAAGGAATCAGACGAAAGGAGGGAGAGAGATGGGGGTGTCGTCAACACCAAGTCTTTGTCACCAATCCCAAATAATCCCTCGTTGCCATGTCTGAGGTCCCAAAAGTCGAGTCTGGATCCGATGTCACCAAGCTCTGTCTCTCTTCTCTCGTAGTCTGCAGATGCAGTGAAGTCAGATAATGAGAGGGGGAGAAGGAGATGGTGGACTGAGAAGAGGAAGAAGAACTCTCTCTCACTATTACGAGCCAGATACTGACCTGTGGTATTGGCGCTGTGCTGCAGGTACCTTGAAGACGAAGCTGGAGCAACGGCGCTGCAGGTAAGTGCCTCTGGCCTCCGCCCAATCTCTCTCTCTCTCTCTAGTACTATCTAGCTATGGCGCCCAGCGCTGGAGACTACAGCTACCTACTGCGCCCAGCGCTGAAGACTACAAGCTAACGCTACTACTACTCTGCAGCGCTCCCTCCAGAGTGCTGCTCC